ACTATTGTTTCTAATAGCTTCTTGTTACTACTAGTAAGGCACTTGTTACCAATAGCGATGCACTTGTTGGCACTTGTTACTACCTGTGGAGGCCATTGCTGGCCGCTCTTACGCCCGGCCTTCACGGCATCAGACATGTCCAATTCCAAGGCAGCCAGGAAGGCATGCATGCGCTCGTCTTCCAAAGCCAATTGGAATTCGGCCCAAGAGATTGCACCATTGCCATTTTGGTCAAAGTCTTGGAAGATGGTGTAGAGTTGCCGAACCAGGCGTTCATTGTACTCCATCTCATTGTCGATCAAAAGATCTCGCTCTCTCTTGCTCACAGTGCCTTGAAGGCTGCAAATGAAGCTGGTGATGGTGTTCACCAAGATCATCAAGGCAAAAACAATGTATGACAGAAACGCAGCAGGAAAGTACCAGTCCAACGCAGCAACCTCATCCCAAAGAGTACCCCAAAGCAATCCACTGTACTGAATTTGGTACAAAGTCATCATTGTTGAGAGCAAGCTGCCAAATTTCTCGCACAACACGGGCGTGTGAACGTTGGGGCAGCTTGTCCAGATGCTTTCAGTGAGGACTAAGCCATAGACATAGTTGAAGCTGAGCACCAGCAAGACCAGCCAAATCATGATTTTGGTACTTTCTGTCATGGAGGTGATCAGCACACGGAGCTGTCTAAGATGAGTCCACTTGGCCAAGGCATTCTTAAAGGTCCACAAGCAACGTGCCAGTCGAAGGATTCGTCCCACCCGAACGAAGGCTGATAAGTTCCCCAAGGTCCGTGAACCTTCGAGCAAGGCCACGATGAGCATCGTGAGGGAGAGCGTATCCAGCAAATTCCACCAACGTCGGCTTCCCATGAAGAAGAGTCGTCCTAGACTTTCACATCACAAGACTTTTGCCTTCGGAAACTAGTAGTAACAAGTGCCACGCTAGTAGTAACAAGTGCCTTACTAGTAGTAACAAGAAGCTATTAATTTAACTTTAAGCTCTTTTTATGTGTTTGTTTTTTTTTCAAATGTGTTCACATCACAAGACTTTTGCCTTTATTAAAACCGTCTTACTGCTAGGGCCTCTCAACTACCTTACTGCTACAAACTTTTTTTTGACTGTGCTTGTTTATGCTGATACCAAAAATAGGCTGGCTAGCAGCTATAGCCGTCCTTCAAGGCAAAACCGAATCAGCAAATCCACACCGAACATGACGCAAAAGCCAATTTCCATCGGCCGAACCCACGCTGGCTCGGATCGATTGAGACTCGTGTAGTGGATCTCAGCACCTCAGCAAAGTGCATAGACGCATAGAGCACAGAATGTTTAAAGGCCGCTCTGCCCCCCTACCTAGAAGCAATGACCTCCAACCTAATAGCAATGACCTCCAACCTAATAGCAATGGCCTCCAACCTAATAGCAATGACCTCCAAGGCACCTAAGCAAAGTGCATAGACCAGCACCATGAAATCCACCAAATACTCATAAAGTCCCATAAAGGAACGGCACAACTCTACGGCATTCCTTCTCGACAAAGACCGAGTGCTGGAGAAAATGGGAGCTTTGACCTCATGACTGGCCTTTACTCTCTCGATGAGTTGAACCAAATGAGGTGCCACGCCTGCCTTCAGGGGAAGAAGCGGCCATACTACTAGGAGCAAGGACGCTACTAAGGGGCTCCTGGCATCGCTACTTGGAACAAGAAGCTACTAGTAACAAGGGGCATCGCCACGAACGGAGCGATCGGACGCCCACAGCCTTCAGCCCAAGCTCGGCTTCGGGTCCCAACGAGACGCTCAGGGCGCCACCGGTGGACGTGCGCCGGCCCGACGGCCCCGACGACGCGACGCGGTGCACCGGGAGGTCGTGGTCGAAGTCCGGACGTGCGCGTCCGCCCGACCCCACCAGGATGCCAAAGCTGTGGCTCAGCATCCTGGAGCGCAATTTGAAGAAAACGCACTTAAAGCACTTAGCTTTAGCTTGGCATAACCTGATCAATTGAAAAATCCAATCCCCACACGTCCTCGAAAGCTGCTCCATCTTCTCATCGAAATGAGCCTTGATCTGGAGCTCATGTTCCTCCAACAAAGGGCGCAAGGAATCCAATTGGAAAGGGTCCAACGTCACATCGCCCCGTATCGAATCAGGTTGGGAAATCTCTGGTTTCGAAGGCATGGCACAACTCCGAAATCTGAGCGAACCATAAAAATCGATGTATCTGAGCCAAAAACGCCGATCAGAGGCGGCTTCAAGACTTTTTGTGACTGACAAGGAAAAAAACTACTTGAGAGTCAGCAATTCAAATGGGATGAGTTCGTGTACACTCTGCATTCATGACACAACTCGCATGAGTGTGTCGGTCATGAGTGTTTGAAACGTAACGAGATGTAGAGAGTATCATCACTATTGGGTTGAAGGCCATCACTATTAGGAGCAAAAAGCTACTAGGAGCAAAGGGCCTCGCTACTAGGAGCAAGCGCGCTACTAGTAGCTCCTGGCATCGCTACTAGGAATCCGGGCATCGCTACTAGTAACAAGAAACTACTGGGTAGCAGCGGCGTGTGGTCACACTTGAGGGACCGACGCTTGAAGCATGAACTTCTCATCCACCTGGACACATCGAAAATAGAGCAATCGTGAAAGTGTTTAGCGGAGGCTCAAGCGGTTTAGCCTGTTGTTCAAAGTCTTGACTCGTCAACCATTTGCCCTCCAACCTAATAGCTATGGCCTCCACCCTAGTAGCGATGGCCTCCCAAAAAGGATTGCAAATCATCCCTCTCAGAGCTTCTGTGCTAAGACTCAAACATTCGCAAGGGCCGCCCGGCACATAGCTGAGGTTTTGGCCATGATCACACAAAGAACGTTTGGAGCATTCAAGTCAAGGAATTTCTGTCAATCAGTAAACCGGGATGGTAAGTCTGTATATTCATGTCAATCAATGTTCAAATCAGAACTGAACACTGAAAAGTTCCATGCATCGCTTCTTAATTCAAAAGGCCAAAGGCGAAGAATAAACTACTTGTCAGGTGTCCGTAAACAATCAGGCGTTCAAAAGGAGATTGGAGGACTGCATAGCCTTATTTTTCTGCGAGCCTGTCCGCAAAGCAATCCTCTACATCAGAGTATGATTCCAGGACAACAAGAACGACAAAGAGGGAAACCAGTTTCAAAATCCCTATGGGGAGAGAAACAACACTGACTCATCGAAAAACAATAGAACAATAAAGCAAACAAACATAGAAAATCAAATAACGGTGCTAAGCCAAAATGGGCTGAAACATCGCATTTGGTCACAAAAACTTTCTCCAGACATGTATCTTGCTCGTTTCCTTCTCACCTTCATGTTGATTTTGCACCTCGCTTTCCGTTCAGTTGTTAAGATGTAGCAAGCTCGAAGTCGTCTTCCTTCAACCTGGTGCCACTTCGCTGTGTCACGCCGCGTCGATTTTCTCATGTCCTGCGCTTCACAGGCCGCGCAAATGCGTCCTGCACAACCGCATCGTTGCGCTGCACCGTATCACACTGTGAGTCACTCGGTGACAGACAAGAATCACAAGACTAAGGACGTGCAAAAAAAAACAACAACATTCAAAGAGCGTGCAAACGACGTGCGTTTTGATTTCGGCCCAAGCGGTCCCTTGCGGTCACTATGCTCGAGCGGTCACTTGCGGTCACTTGCGGTCTCTTGTTCAAGTGTCACTTAGGGCCACTTGCAGTCACTCGTCTGCAAGTAGCAAAAACATATCAAGTCAGAGAGCACAAGCGCACGGAAGGTCATCAGAGATTACATGGCGCTCATGCCACGAGAAGGATCGTCAGGAGAAACAAGACTAGAGTGACCGACCCACTTCGGAAACCAGTTTTTCTCCCGAGGGCGCCGTTGAAACTTTTGAGCCCCACGCACTCGTCACACGGAAAAGGAACAAACAATTTCTGCACCAGGGAAACATGTTAAAAAAGTGTGCCGGGGGACATATTCCGACAATATCGTACGAATTTGCAATAAATCCGTTTACGACAGAAAAGCACCCCACGAACTAAGCCAAAGCCGCAGCCCATACATGGTGCCAGAGATAACCCACACGCGGGCCCTTCCACTGCCCTCTCTCGATGACCAACTTGGAACGCGCATGTGAGCAACGCGACGACATCAAACGCCCCGCAAGAAGCGTTGGCGCTCCCTTGCGCGCGCGCGGGTCTTGTTGCTCCCGCGCACAGGACAATGAGCAAAGCCCCGAGAAGAGCCAGAAGCCCAAAAGGAGAAAGGGTGCTGGAGAAAACCACACACAAGCAGAACAGCGTGGCGTCATCCTGGATACCACAACCTGCCCAGAGCTCCACTTCCAGGACGTGGCGCGTCGTCGCACGGCGTCAAAAGGCGTCGTTTGTGGGTCAAACGATTACAGCTGGCGACAGAAAAACAATCAAAGTTCACGCGACCTCGTCATGAAGATGAAGAAGGCTCGCTGGTCATACTGGCTGCAAGATGCACACTACCATTGCCTTGCCAACCGACTCCAAAAAAAAACACAAGTCAGACGATCATGGGAACTCATCCCACATGACCATCAGCATCAGTTGGGCGCAGTTCAATACCCTGGTACCCAACTTTTCCCGGCAAGAGACCCCAAACGGTGTGCTTGAGGTCTAGAGGTGTAGCAGCAGATGGTGGCGATGAAGCGATGGTGGTGATGGCGGCGATGGTGGTGGTTGGTGGTGGGCGGTGTTGGTGGCGACGGTGGTGGATGGGGGTTCGCAAGCTGGGAAAGGTCCACGAAGCACTGCTTCTGCCACAAAATCTGCACTTCAAGGTCCACAAAGTACTGCACCTGCCACGAAGCTTGCACTTCAACATTGAAATTGTTCTGCTCCTACTTATTTCACTTCACTGGACTTTACTTACTCGCAATCAGTTGCGGTCACTCGAGTGGCCCTTTTCTAAAGCTGCGACCTGAAAAATGCGAAACATTTTCCATGGTCCATGGGCACAAGCCAACAAGGGGTATTAGAGACAATGAATCGCATACTGATTGCGGTCACTTGTGGTCACTTGCTCGATCGGTCACTTGCAGTCTCTTGCAGTCACGCAAGTGGCTGCTTTTCGAATCAAAACCACACATTTTGCGAGCTCAATGAAAAGTTGAAGAAAAAACAAAACAACCAGGAGCAATCTTTGCTACTAGGGGCTACTGGCATCGCTACTAGGAACAAGAAGCTACTAGACCAAAGGAAGGTCGGTAGCACGGTGCCTCGAGAACTTTGCCTCGCCTCTTCCAGCCTCACAAGATGTGAAAAAGCGCAGCACATCTAATCCAAATGTAAGTGCGTAAGATATAGAAAACTAATAGCGATGGCCTCCAACCTAGTAGCGATGGCCTCCAACCCAAGAGCGATGGCCTACAGCCTAATAATGTAAGTATGGGTAAGAAAAGAAAACCCTATAATTAGCCTGTTGATCTAAAATGCTTTAAGTAAAATGTTAAAACTAAGTCTAAGACAAATCCGACGCCTTAGCAAGACCTAAAAACAAACTGAATCAGTGCAGTGTGATTCGTTGCTTTGGTCGAGCCTTTGCCTTTGCCGCTTGAAGCGACTGGCCTTGGATAACACAAAAAAGGACACCGTGAGGTAAGGACAAAGAGAGACAAAACTGAACAGAACTGTCAACCGGATGTAAAAAAAGCTAACAGCGATGGCCTCCAACCTACTCGCAATGGCCTCTCCAACCTACCTCCAACCTACTAGCGATGGCCTCCAACCTACTAGCGACCAGCGATGGCCTCCAACCTAGAACGGAACTGTCAACCCGAATGTCAGAAGACCACAGCATTGCAAACACGCTTGCCGCAAGGGTCCCTTTTCCGTTTATATAGAGCCCCACGGCGCCCAGAGCTGCTCGGACTTCATCACAACTTGGTTTGCTGTCTGCGGTGGTCCAGTATGTCTCAAGAAACCAAGCAAAGTAGCCAGGGGTAGAGACTTTGAGATACGTAATGATACGTAGAGTATCCAGAGGCAGCACATGTACTTCGAGGCCATAGATCATTCGGAACTACGAACTTCTACCAAATCACAACCAGCATGTCACAAGGCTCCAACGTGGTGGCTCCACCACTCCAAAGCTCCTGAGAAGCTTAAGAAGCTTGAGAAGGCTTAGCTGTGTGAAAGCTTTGTGACCAAATGTCTGAAGACACGTCACTTCCCTTCAGGTTTTCCTTCTCATATTCCTACTGGTCACAGCAAAAATGATGTCAAATGCCCATGCCAGCCTCTGCACGCCAAGGCCTCGCTCGAGTGTCTCCACTTTCTCCCCTGAGCTGCTTCATCCAGCGAGAGAACACCCGAAAAGGATCGGATCAATTAGATCAACAGGATCGGGCATCGCTTCGAACGGAGCAAGGATGCTACTAGGGGCGCTCCTGGCCTTACTAGTAACAAGAAAGCTACTAGTAGCAAGGACCCTACTAGGAGCAAGGACGCTACTAGGGGGTCCTGGCATCGCTACTAGGAACATGAAACGAATCTTAGTTTCTTCGATTGTTTAGGTGTACATTAGATCAATCAAATCTCTGCATCTTCTCTGGACCCAACCGTGGACAGCAACAGGTCGTGAAGGAAGTGCTGCACTCTTCCTGTATCGTGGGGCATTGGAGAAGTCAAAAAAATCTGTTGGGTTGGACGCTACTAGTAGCTCCTGGCATTACTACTAGGAACAAGAAGCTACGAGTAACAAAGGGCATCGCTACTAGGAGGTGATTGCTACTAGGCTACAGGCCATTGCTAGTAGGTTGGAGGCCATGTGCACCATCTGAGACAAGAGCGATGCCAGCGGCAAATCTTCTTCCAACTTCACCCCCGTGGTGGCGATTCCCGGTCCTGAGGATGAATGGTGCAGTAACAGGTGCCTTACTAGTAGTAACAAGGACGCTACTAGGAACAAGTGCATCGCTTCTAGTCACAAGTGCCTTGTCGCTCGATTCGATACTCAGATTCGGGGATGACTTCAGGCCTGGTCGCTTGGCGAAGACTGGCGCAGTCGACTTGCTGAAGCCCACAGACCCATACCTCAGATTTCCAGAAAGGCGCGAGAAAGCAAGAACTAACCTGTAACTAGTAGCGATGCACTTGTTACTACTAGTAAGGCACTTGTTCCTAGTAGCTTCTTGTTACTACTAGTAAGGCACCTGTAACTAACCGTTCAACTCTCAAGAGTCATGAAGAAGGTGCATGTCTTCTCACACATCAAGGGCAATTTGAAGAAGCAAAAAGGAAAGCAAAGGAAAGAGTGGAAAGGAATCACATGCACTTGCAACTAGAAAAATAGCCAAAGGACTGCCTTTAAAACCTTCATCAAGCATCCAAACATTGTGGGTTTGTCCTTGTGCTTCTGAGCTACTTGGGTGGCACCACCCTAGGAGGCGCCACCAAAGCGGTCACCGGCACTGGTGCGGCCACGGGCGGTGCCACGGGCGCCACGGGCGGTGCCGGCAGCACCGGAGCGGTCGCGGTCGATGGCACCGGGATGGGCAACGGTAGCGGTCGCGGCAAGACCGGAGGCAGGGCGGTCGGAAAGGCAGGCAAGACCGGCGGTGCCATGGGAACTGGCACCGGCAAAACTGGTGCGCCTTCACCTGAAACGGCAAAGAAGCTGATCCGAAGGCGACGGGTTGATTTACATACCCCTAGCTAAACTCCAAGATTGGACAGAATCTAAACTGAAAGCAAAAACAAACAATCAATACAAGAAGGCCATCACTAGTAAGAGCGATCGGACACTAGTGAGGGCTCCTGGCCTTACTACTAGGAGCAAGGACGCTACGCTAGGGGCT